GTCGGGGGGTAGGGAGGCGGGGCCCATAAAAAAAAGCCCCCCACCCTGCCATAAGTACAGAAAACATGGAAACCTTTTGTGGTGGCCATAACTTAATATTTTACTTGATTTAAAATGAAGTTTGATTAACTAACATGAGAAAGTTGAAGCACTTAAATCTGTTTAATAATTAAAATGAATATTTCCCTTCTTACTGGTGAAATTAAACTGTTCTTCCTAGCTGCAGCAGTAGCAGCATGGCTCGGGTGGGGTGTAATTAAGTAATTAACGGCGAGTTTCCATTAGCAACTGGTAGTCCACGGAAAGGTTTGCATTGAGCCAGGTGGGCCACGGGCCAAAGTTTGAGAACCACTGGCCTCGGGGTATTTTCCGCACTAACCCAATAGACAGCAGAAAACATTTTCTTTTGTGATTGACAATCCCACCCTTCTCCAGAGCCTCCACTGACACGTCCCACGTCCTCTGGCAGAAAGCTGCGTGAAGCGTGCCAGCACTCAGGTGTGCTGCTGACCCCCGCCCCCAGACTGGGCTCCAACACTGCTCTGGGCTGGAAAATTCCGTCTGCCCTGAGACAAGCTGGGGAGGCCAGAAGGATCCGGGAAGGTTTTGGCCCGACGTCAAGGAGAAGAAGGGGTGGGAGAGCACTGAGCGAGGAGAGCGGCTTTACCTGGACAATGTCTCGCTCGGCGATTTTCCCTCGGGACGAGATTCTGATGTCGTCGCCGTCCAGCTCCACCATAGCTACGAAGGTGGGAGGGGAGAGCACAAAGGGTTAACTGTGCAGACAGTGTCAGGGGGAAGGATCCCAAGGGCATTTCAGTGCAGAAGAGGCCGAGACAGGGGCTGATTAATACATTGATCAATGATGAGAAAAAACAAAAAATTCCCCGTGACCAGAGATAGTTAGGAACGTCGGAGAAACCTACCTGAGCCATGGGAACGGGCAGCGCAGCCGCAGAGGAAATTCAGTGCCGATCCACTCAAGGACATGTACACTGGCAGAAATCATTTGAACCACTCATGTGTCTTAGTGGGTTCTAAATTGACTGTAACCACTCAAGAAAAAGACCTGAATGTCACTGAATGTAACCCACTGGAATCTCAGTTCACTGCGTAGCTGCAGTATTAAAAAAAAACCTTATGGGGTTTAGGGAATGACAGAATATACAAATAAAATATTGTAATGCTCTTAAAGCAACGGGACATACACACATTCCGCTCTGGTTACCCCATCTCAAACAATGATGTGACAAAAACAGAGGTGGTTCTGAGATAGCTGAGGAAAGAATGTAGAGGCTGGGGAAGACGGTTGTAGAAGAAAAGACTGAAAAGATGTGGGCTGTGTCCTTTAGAGAGGAGAGAGATAAAAAGGACATGATTGGAAAAGAAATACTACAGAATAATGATCCCAAGTAATAAATGGCAGAGCGACGGTAAAGCAGGAGCTCCTGTTTATCTTGACATAACGAGAAAGGGGACAGTCACATGATGGGAGGGCAGCATATTTAAAACTGAGTCACAGAAATACAACATTCTAATGAAACATTCAATCGTCCTGTGGAACTCCCTGCCACAAGGTATCTCTGGGGCCACAAGTTTAGAACGCTTCAAAAATAGGATCAATCACACCTGAGAGTAATTAGAGCAGCAGCAGTTACATTAAATAAGACTGAACACAGCTCTGCTGTATCTTGCAGGGAGTGGAACCTGAATTCTGTGGCAAGCCCCCACGCAGAAATTCTACACATTCTGCAACAATTTCAGCAAATTAAAAACATATGTAATAAAAGGTGATATTGAATGAAATATTACAATGAGCAATGGAATCAGCACAGATCCTCTATGCTCTTCATTTTGGGGTTGTGGGATATGCAAATTAGGTGTATGTTGCTGCTAAAATGGTCAGCAAAGAAACAGGTAATGATGACACTGTCATTGTCATCTTTACACTTCAGAGTTAACATGCACCAGTGAGCAGATCACACCTCTCAAAGGGTATGTCTCCACTTGCAGCCTAATTCGAACTAGGACTGCAAATGGAGGCATTCGGAACTGCAAATGAAGCCCGGGATTTAAATATCCTGCGCTTGATTTGCATCTTCCTGTCTGGGCGCCATTTTTTGAAATTTACAAGCCCGAAATAACTGCCCACGTCTACATGCGGCAGTGAAATGGGCGTTCGAAATAAAGCCCTAGTTTGAACTACCTGTTAAACCTCATTGCAGGAGGAATAACAGGTAGTTCGAACTAGGGCTTTATTTTGAACGCCCGTTTCACTGCCGCGTGTAGACAGTCGGCAGTTACTTCGGGCTTGTAAATTTCAAAAACGGCGCCTGGCCGGGAAGATGCAAATCAAGCGCAGCCACTTTTGTGCAAAATCATGCCAATGTCGATGTAGCCTTAATGTATAGAGCCCTGCAAATCTGCGGCTATTCACTTTATATCCATGGCTACGTCGACACTGGCATGATTTTCCAGAAATGCTTTTAATGGAAAAGTTTTCCGTTAAAAGCATTTTCGGAAAAGCGCGTCTAGATTGGCAGGATGCTTTTCCGCAAAAGCACTCTTGGGAGGTATCCATGGACTGGGTTAGGACACTGCTCAAGTCCCGCCCTAGAACCCATGCAGCTGCTCATGTTTAGAGCACTGACCCAGACCATCTGTTTGCCTCCATTGTCTTCTGGCATGCCTGCCTGAGCTCCTTTATCTTCACATGGCACTGCTGGGCATCAGGACGTATCCCTTTTCCACCACGGCCTGTGTGATCTTGTTCCTCTCCCCACACAGTAATGAGGTCTAGGATCTCCTGCACGCTCCATGCTGGAGCTCATCTGTGACCCTGGGCATTCATGGTCAGGTGTGCTGCTGAGGTGTGCAACCTGCTCTGAAAGACCCATGCTCCATACTTGCCATAGAGGAAAAGAAATTCAAGCTTTCTCCTGTGCACCTGGAGAGCAGCAGAGTTGAAAGTGCTGGCTAGAGCAGTCACGCTGGGGCACTGTGGGACGCCTCCTGGAGGCCAAGAACATCGTCTTTCCCAGCACTGCATCGGTACCACCCTAAAGTCAACCATGCAAGGTTGAATTTACTGTTAGTCCTCATGAAAAGCAGAAGTACTGAAATTGACATTAACAGCCCCTAAAGTCAGTGGAATGGGCTTGGTGGGGGTGTGGACTCACTGTTTAGAAAATCGACCTAAACTCATAGTGTAGACCAGGCCTAAGTCATGGACAAATTGAAAGAATCAGGTATGAGGAAAGAATACAAAGAAACGACAGAAAAATACCACCTTCTAGAGAAAGAAATGAACATGGTTGAGACATGGAACAGTGTAAAAAATGGGATTATGAAAATAGCTGAACAAAATGTTGGCTACAAAGCCAAAACAAAGAAAGTGAGGTGCATAACAGATGAAGTGCTGCAGCTGAGTGACAAGCATGGGAAATGGAAGGAGAATACAAAGGAGGACAAAGTCTAAGAGCCGAGTACACTGGCAGAGAGAGAAAACAAAAAGCAGAGAGACGCAGGAGTGCCTGGATAAGCACATAGCATAAAGATGCAGATGAATGTGTGAAAAGCAATATGTCATGGGCTGTGTCAAATGGTAAAAGAAATGAGTGAGACATAAGAGTGGAAGATATCAGCAGTAACAGACAAGCACAGACAATGTCTGAGAATGCACAGGCAACAAATGAGCAATGGAAAGAATATTTTGAAGAGCTGCACAAAGTGCAGATGAAATGCTGCTGGAGACACTTCCTAGCACAAATGCAGGACAGCAAGGGTACGTCTAGACTACATGGCTCTGGTGCAAGGGTACGTCTAGACTACATGGCTCTGGTGCAAGGGTACGTCTAGACTACATGGCTCTGGTGCAAGGGTACGTCTAGACTACATGGCTCTGGTGCAAGGGTACGTCTAGACTACATGGCTCTGGTGCAAGGGTACGTCTAGACTACATGGCTCTGGTGCAAGGGTACGTCTAGACTACATGGCTCTGGTGCAAGGGTACGTCTAGACTACATGGCTCTGGTGCAAGGGTACGTCTAGACTACATGGCTCTGGTGCAAGGGTACGTCTAGACTACATGGCTCTGGTGCAAGGGTACGTCTAGACTACATGGCTCTGGTGCAAGGGTACGTCTAGACGTCGACAAATGCCTTTGATGTCGACCGTGGAGCGTTCAGACTAGTGTGCTGAGCCGACAAACAGCTGATCGGCTCAGCGCGGCAGCCATTTTAATGTAAAGGAAGCGGCGATTATTTAAATTGTTGCTTCATTTGGGTGTGTCTAGTAAACTAATCTACATGGCTCTGGCGACAGAGTCATGTAGTCTAGACGTACCCCAGATGTCAGAATTCGAAGAAGAAAAAGAAGAAGAAGTGGTAAAGATCTCAGTAGAAAATCTGAAAATGACAATGGCACTTGGAGGTAACCATGTAACTCCAGAGCTGCTGCAAGCTAGAATATATGCTAGCGGCTATGCATGAGCTATTTAGCAAGATTCACAGAGAAAAGCAAGCGCCGTGCAAATGGGAGAAACTAATAACAGTACCAACCTATAATCAAGAATATTTCATGAGGCATAAAGGATCTGCCGACGAAGGATTCTGGGGTTGGTAAATCCCCATCTAAACTGCTGCGCTGTGCCGACAATCAGCTGATCGGCACAGCGTGGCAGCCATTTTGATGTAAATGAAGCGGCGATTATTTAAATTGCCACTTCATTTCCCTTTTGTCGTCCTGCCTAATAGATCTGTCGACAGAGCCATGTAGTATAGACACACCCTTCCCGATTCATTTTTCATAATGAAACAGCAACACGGAACACAGCTCTTAAATGAGTAAAGCAACCCAGCCTATGGTCAGTAGAAGAGAGGAATACAAATATACTGGACTACTGTTTTATACACATAGCTACTGTTTCCAAATCGCCACCAAAGTAAGGGTCAGGGCATGCACAAGATGGGCGGATAGTACAGGTTGAACTTCTCGAGGCCGGCACTCTCTGGTCCAGCAACATCCATGGTCCAGCATGATTTGAGTTAGCTGGACGGCCACCTATTGAGGATGTGGCCAACTTCCCATGGTCCCATAACATTTGTTTACAGCCACCAGTCCTGGCTCTCCGTCTTCAGTGTTGTTATGAACACTTAGTCAGAGTTTCAATGTGCAGGAACCAAGTGTCCGTTTGCAAGGCAGGGAGGGTCACCTCCCTAGGACATACGGGCAGCGAGGCAGGGTTGGGCCACGTGACAACGGTCGAGCCAGTTCCCACAAGCCTTTGGGGTTTCTAAAGAAGCGTTGGGAGCAGACAGCCCCTGGTACCAGGTAACCAGGAGTGACTTTGTGTGGACAGAGCAGCTCTTGAGACATGGAAAGGAGGCCTGGAGCTCATGCTGGGCTTTAATGCCTGGGTCCCTCCACTCCATTCGTGAAACCCCGAGATGCCACTGCACGTGGACAAATCGATGAGCTCAGCAGGTTCAGACCAGCGGTTTTTTGAGGTTGTAAATTAAATGAGAAGAAAACATGTTTTTTTCAGCTTCACAGTGGGAACATCTGGCTATAGCGGAGGCCTCCAAGGCCCCTCGCCTGTCTGCGAGGTGCAGGATTCAGTGCCCTACAGTGGCTCCTACCCAGGGTGACTCCAGGGAAGATGGATTTGCAAACTGTCCAGACAGACATTGACCTTGACTCTGGAGAGCAGACACCCTTACCCTGGCGAGGGCAGCCTGGCCTTAGGAGAACACCTGGCCAGAGCAGCCTAAGGACCCGGGATTACATTTGCTGCACCAACAGATCCTCTGCAGCAGACCCAGATTGGGAAGAGCCAGTGCAGGTCAGGAGTGACGGGCTGGCGAATGAAGGCAAGAGGCCCATACTGCCAGAGAACAGTACTGGAGTGTCTTCATGCTACTGAAGGAGCAGGGGTATGGAAAGACACCAAGTCCGGGAGCCGATAGATTTCGTGGGCTGAGTATGGCTGCAGATGTTAAGGACCAGATACCTTCCCGTCTTACCTATCGAGATAGGAAAGTGCCCGCAAGAAGGGGCAGAACCCTCAAGGAAATGCCTCAAGTCTGTACACTGTGGGCGCGCAGACAAACGGACTCGAAAGGTCTCTGCGGCTGGAAACGTACGACACTTTCTCACCGGTGGGGGAGGCACAACCAGCGGGGGATGAAGGACTCTGACAGCTCTGGCGGTTGCATGGCTCACCGCGCTGCGTCTGCAGCAAGCAAGCGAAGGGATCGGAATCGCGGCTGCTCCATGGGGTTTGCTGACACCAGAGCGCCACGGTGAAGCCCTGTGCCTCCCACATGCGAATAACGGGAGAGAGGAGAAAGTGAGCTGCCATTGGCTGCATGCTCAGAGCCGGTCGAGACCAGCATATGACGAGCCCTCTTTGCACAGAACACCAGCCACACTCAGCTACCCACAGCTCTCCTCATAAGATAATTGCAAACCCAGGCTTCCCTGTGATGTCACGTCCAGGCAGCAAGAACTGGCAGGATGCCCCCTGCATGGCGGGAGACACAGCAGTGTAACATCAGTGGCCTGAGGGCAGCAAGCCAGAAGGTGGAGGAAGAGATGAGCCAGAAGCCAGCATGCCAAGCAAAAGGTGCCAGGGAAAAGGAGCATTATGTGCCCATGCAGGAAGGAGAGAAGGTGGCTACGCAGCTGGGAAAGCAGCCTGGAAAAAATCCCAAACTTACTTCTTTTTGGGGGGGATCTTCATGGGAAGTAAAAATGAAAGATCTTTGCTGGTACAAAAAGCTAGAGCTCACCCCTTTAGCACCTGTGCAACGCCAACAGGCAGAACCAAAGCGGGGCCCTCTGGAGCCAGCCAGCGCTGAACTAAGCTGTAGAGCAGGGTCGCTCTCTTGCTCTGTGTAAGTGATGTACGTGCCAGGAGGTATGTGGGTTGCACATGGAGAACCGGTACCTGGGTTCATTGACAGAAAGGAGATGGCAAATACTGCGGACGTTCCACTGCATCTCAGATTTGGAGGTGCCCCAGCTGGTACCTGTGGCTTGTAAGGCTTGTAACAGGAGACCAGTTGTGGAAGTGCCTGGTGACTTTGGGGCCTCAGCATTACCAGGGCATCCCAGTTGCTAATGAATTAAAGTAAATTAATGGAGATTGCCTATCTCCTAGAAGTGGAAGGGACTTTGAATGGTTATCTAGTCCAGTCCCCTACCTTCGCAGCAGGACCAAGTACCATCCCTGACAAATTTTTACCCCAAATGGCCTCTGCAAGGATTGAACTCGTGACCCTTGGCTTAGTAGGCCAATGCTCAAACCACTGAGCTATCCCTCTCCCACCAGCTCCACTGCCTTGTGAGATATGAAAGCTCCGTCCTTTGGGACCAGCACACCCACAGCAGAGGGGCTAGGTCTGCAAAAGGGACTCTGGTGCCCAATGTCCCTGTAGGCACTTCCCAACATGTACTCTGCAAGGATTGAACTCGTGACCCTTGGCTTAGTAGGCCAATGCTCAAACCACTGAGCTATCCCTCTCCCACCAGCTCCACTGCCTTGTGAGATATGAAAGCTCCGTCCTTTGGGACCAGCACACCCACAGCAGAGGGGCTAGGTCTGCAAAAGGGACTCTGGTGCCCAATGTCCCTGTAGGCACTTCCCAACATGTAGATGTCACGTGGGTACCAGGCATCTGAGGCTCTGCCCTACCTCTCCTCCCAAGGCTCCACACCTGCCCCACCTCTCCCCACAAGGCCCTACACCTGCCCCACCTCTCCCCCCAGACCCCCCATCTCC